GGCCGCGGGAACTCTGTGAGGGCAGAGCAGCCGCCAGGATGCCCAGCTCTAAGTCCTCTGTCAACCACCGGCGTCTGGAGCACTGTATTCTGGGTCTCTCCCCGCCGTCTCCGACCCACTTGCCCTGCCAGGAGCCTCTCAGGCCACCTCCTGGTGGTGAGAAGGCCACGGGAGGTGCCACCTCTCCAGTGGGGAGGTCTCCGCCCCGCCCGCCCGGGGACCACGCTGGTCAGAGCTGCTCGGAGGAGGAGCGCAAGGACAAACCCGATGGCACAGAGCCAACCCTCAGCACCAGCCTAGGCAAAGCTCGGCTTCCACGAGCTCCCGCGGGGCGTGGGGCTGGCGGTGGGCTCCGGCGAGGCCCACAGCCTGGCCAGCAGCTGGGCTCTTCCGTAGCTCTGACACTTAATATCACCAGAAACCGAACTGTTCATAAAATCCAACGGATCAGGGAAAAGGTCAGCGGGGACAAGGAGGAGAACAAGAGAGGATGGAGAGAAAGCAGGAAGGGAAACTGCCTGTAACCCTTTAGTGACATCCTTGGGTACAAACATGTTTGTTTCGAGTACTGGCATTTCCTGGAAATTTATCAGCAGCTTTGGGCGGCCTTAAAAGCGGTAGAGCCAGTGGCCCTCCGGTCCCCCGGCCCACGAGAAAAGACAGGTGCCTGGAGCAGGGGCAGGTGGTCCGCGGCCTTCATTTCTCTATTCACCCTCAGGTGAATGTACCTCCTCCACCCCTGAGCCTATGAATTACAACTCATCAATAAATTCATCAATAACCATAGTGGATGACAGACAGAGGTCGTCATTCTTTCAAAAATTATTCCATGGCCTGGGAAGGTGGCTCAGTGGTAGAGTGCTTGCCTTGCATGCCTGAGGCCCTGAGTTCGATTCCTCAGCACCACATAAGCAAAAAGAAAAAAAAAAGCCAGAAGTGGCGCTGTGGCTCTAGCTGTGGTGCTAGCCTTGCGCTGAAGAGCTGAGGGACAGCGCCCAGGCCGAGTTTAGGCCCCACTACTGGACGCAAAAAAAAATTATTCCATGCAAATATCAACATGCCAAGTGGCCACATTAGTCACGTTAAAACTCAGGCATTAAGAGCCAATAGCAACTCCAAGCCATTTCTTATTTAACTAACCTTGATGTTTGCTTATAAACACTACTTTCAAGGTAATAATCCTTAGGTTGTAAGTATTATTCCTAGAAGATATCATCTCTAAGGAAATATTGTGGGGCAAATTTTTTAATTTTTGTCCTCAAAATTTATATATATTAATAATTTTTGCAAAGTTATTAGTTTTCTAAAAAATTATATACATCTTATGAGATGTATCCAATATTGAGTTACTTACTGCCTTCTTCAGTAAGGCAACCAAAATTCTTTAAGCAGCAAATTGCAGGACATCAGAACTAACTTCCCCCGGGGAACTGCGTGCAGTGGTCAGGGGCTCTGGGTCCTGAGCTGCTGGGTCATGAATGAGGACAGCCTCATGCTTCCCGCGGTCCTCACTAGTTTCGCGCATGCGCAGCTTCCACAGTGAGTGGGAAAGGGAAGGAAGGGAACTGGAACAAAGAGGGAGGAGAAGGGCAGATACCTGAACAAGTGCTCCAGAAGCCAGGGCCTGAAGGCGTCATCTCGTTGCCCTCAGGCAGCTCAGGAATGGGGCTCAGGAGGGGCTTCTTGGAAGCAATGTCTCTTTCCCCATATAAAGACTTCTGAGTACTCTTCTTCCCCTTTCCTTTCTTCCTTCTGCAGCTTTTTCCAACCTGAGAAGATGTGTTAAAATGCTTGAGAAACACGTAGCGCCACGTACCACACACACATTTTGCCCTTTAAAATTTATTACTATATGGTTTTTACTAGAAAATGTAAGATTTTATTCCATTTGAAATTTTTGGGTAGGAAGTAAATTACGCAAAGTCAGAAAAATAGGAAACAGAATCCAACACACACACTGTACAACAGCTTCCTCTACTTGCCAAAGTAACTGCTGGATAAACAAGAGCCCAGATTGGATCCTGCACATCTGGACAAGAGGCATTTGTCCTAAATAAGACGTAGTCATATAATATCACAGATTATCCTAGCCTAAGTTACCTGCTGATGGCTACTGGAACCGGTTTCCTGTTTACAGGCCTCAGAGAAGAAACCACAGGCATTTAGATACAACCTGAAGACACACAAAGCTAGCTCAACCAATTCAAACAAATACATTAACTGTGATTAAAATGGAGAAATTACAGGGGCTGGGGTTTGGCTCAGTAGAAGAGTGCTGTGCCTAGCATGTACAAGCTCCTCAGGCAAAACAGAAAAAGGTAACGATGAGAAAGGGTTTTAGCAAGCATTAGAAGATAGAGGAGACACAAGGCTGAGCAATAACCAATTTTCCACAATAGAAAGAAATGTTCATGAAACTCAGAAATGTTTAAATACTTCTGGAATACAGAATCACAGAACAATCAATTAACAAATGAAAAACATGCTCTGTTACAAAGAAAAAATGACAGTTTCATATGGAGAAGACTCTAGGGAAACTCAAACACTCCACAAAGATAAGGGCCAGGAACCGGGTGGCTCACGCCTGTAATTCCAGCACTCAGGAGGCTGAGATCTGAGGATCATGGTTCAAAGCCAGCCTGGGCAGAAAAGGCCCCATGAAAGTCTCATCTCTGTCTAACCATTCAAAAACCAGAAGTGAGTAATAGAGTACTAGCCTTGAGCAAAAAAAAGAGCCCAGAGACGGCACCCAGGCCCTGAGTTCAAGCCCACAAACCAACAAAAGAACAAAAATAAGAGCAAAAGGAATGAAAATATCCTCACAGGCTTTCAAGATAAACATGTTTTTGAGAAACAGAATTCATTCCAAAATCCATGGAGAAACTGCCACGTGCCTGGTAATACCGTGTGTGAGGAGATAGGAACACACAGGACATGGTGTTAGAGCTGTGCCTGGGCCGGAGGCCACGCGCAGGACAGACTGTGTGGCCACTCTGTGACCTGGCCTGCAGAAAGCACGATGGCCCAGTCAGAGTTCAGAAGAACGGTTCTGCCCAATTAGGGCTTTTGAAAGAAAAGGAACAATATGCAGGATCTTAAAGTGGGCAGCAAACACAGAGCAAGGGTAAGTTCCAGCAGTCCAGAGCCAGGGTACCCAGATAGGAGCAGCAGTCACCAACTGCCAGCAGCAGAGGCCATGTGTGCAAAGCATCAAGGCAAAGCAAGGAGGATTCCCTGCGGGTGCAGCGAAGTGTGAACACCTTGAGCTTCCTCTCACCCAACGAAGAAAAATCATGGGATGATAACACAGAAGATTTAGGAGAAAGAGACGTGAAAAGTGGGTGAGGAGAGATGGGGGGAATGGCAGAGATGATACCGATTGAGATACATTGTTGCATAAACTGGTATGTTGAATCAAAGATTCTTTGAACAACTACTTAAAGAAAGTACTTTAAAAAGAAAAAAGAGTGGATGAGATTCAAAGAGCACAAAAATAGCACAGAACTTGGTTCCTTGAGATTTCCACAGCTATAAAAACAGAACCAAACACAACATTCCACAAGAAAACAATTTTAGAACTGCACATGATGAATGTGCCTCTTGGTGATATACAACATACATTTAACATAAGACTCTGAGAAGGTCTCAGTGTAAATAGTCTCGCTACACAGAAAGAGAAGGCCGGGTGCAATGTTTCTCCATCAAACTTCTTTTCTCAGGGAACATCTGCTGACATTCCGTGGAGCAGATGGGGAATGCTGGCTTGGTCAATGGATGCCAAAGCCAAGAGAAAAGAAAAATCTGAAGGTGGGGCTCACAGACGAATTTCAAAAGAGAAACATTCATCCCCTGGTGCCAGATACTGAGCATTGGAATCTTTTCTCCCACATAACTGCTGCACAGCCTTAGTCAAGTAACTCAACCGTGCACCTGTCCTCTTCTGAGAGGCGGCCACTGCAGCAGCGTGTGTGCACATGTGTGCACGTGCACACACACGCACACACACACACACACACGAGACACAAGGTTGGGGAGGGGTGGGAGTTAGCACGTGAGGTGTAGCACAGGACCAACCCGGGCTAGGAGTGCTGGCCACTCTCACCTTCCCATTCCTTCCCAATGCGCTGGGAGTCTGGAGGTTATGTGATTTTTTTTGAATCTTCAAGTAAGTTTAAACAAGGAAGAAAAAACATCCCTTTTTTAGCATGACTTTGTTTATACAGATGGTCTAATACCTCTAACAGCGCCCAGCACGGACAAGGCTACTCAGCAACTATGAATGAATGAATGAATGAATTCTTATTTAAGAAAAGACTGGATGAGCCAGGTGCCAGTGGCTCACGCCTGTAATCCTAGCTAATCAGGAGGCAGAGATCTGAGGATTGAGGTTCAAAGCCAGCCCGGGCAGGTAAGTCAGTGAGACTCATCTCCAATAAACCACCAGAAAACCAGAAGTTGGCACTGTGGCTCATGTGGTAGAGCACTGGCCTTGAGCTGAAGAGCTGAGGGACAGCGCCCAGGCCCAGAGTTCAAGCCCAAGGACTGACAAAACAACAACAACAATAAAAGACTGGATGAGTTGATAAGGGTGTCCGCATTCCAGCTCAGTCTCCTCCTTGCAAGGAACACTGTGTGGGGCCAGGCCAGGCAGGAGCCTGGGGAGAATCCACTGCCAAGCTTTGCTGGAAGGCAAGAGCCAGCTGTGGCACTGGTGAAGACTTCCTGAATGGCAGAACTCGGGCTGTAACCTAGATGACAACATCTGCCACGGGGCTCGAGGGGGAAGCAGGCGACGTGCCAACTGCTACGCGGTGTTCCACATGGAGGACTTCCATGAATCTGTTTTTTTTCAGTACCACTTTCTTGCTCTCCAAACCCACTGTACCTGCCAATTCTGAGCGGAGTCTCCTGGGACTCCCATAGGCAGGCTGGTTCCCAGATCCCTCTAGCTCCTTCCTAGCACATTCTGAGCTGTAAATCTTTCCACCTCTTCTATCTGTCAACATGTTCCCATCTGCCGCGTCTTCTAGAAATTCGTTGAGCGCTGCTGTCTGTTGCTTAACACCTCCCTCATTCCCTTCCCTTTCTAAGGTTATTATAAGTCTATTCCTTTTATTACATAAATTAGAATAATTCACCAGGGAATGGGAAGGAGTTGGAACAAGCTAATGCTCAATTCTTGAATTCTGTGGTCACTGACTTGATATAAAAAAATAGATGTACATTATTCATCAGTGTTCTTAAAAGTATACATATGAAAGAAGTCAATTATTAAATGGAACAAGTTATATGCTTAGTTTTGAACTTAGGCAATTTTTTCCAACAAAAGGAATCTTTATCATTTAAAATGTGACCTAACAAAAGAAAATAAACCAGAATTTAGATTTGATGAGTCAAGGGTATCAATGTCATTCAATCATGAAAAGCATTTTAGGGAGTTTGAGAAGAAAGTTTATGGGCTGCATTGGGTGTGCATGTTGGGGTTAAATCGATGGCTTACAAAACTAAACCAAGATGAGTTAAACCATCTTAACAGGCCCATATCAAGCATTGAAATAGAAACAGCAATAAGAGACCTCCTATCTAAGAAAAGCC